CGGGGCAGGGCCGGGGGTACTCGGTCACTGGAGACCGCCGGGCAGGAGCGCGGGTTGAGGCCGCACTTGGGTATTTGCGCGTTTACTTGCTTATTGCCTGTCCGCTCGGGAGGAATGCAAACTCTGTCATCGCAGGGTCCCATGTTTCTGTTGCTGGGAAGTAACTTAAAGTATTTAATAGAGCCGAAGGAAGAAATAGAGTCCTTGAGGGGCAGCCCCTGATTTCATCTGCGAGGAATTCACGGGACGGCTTCTTTCTGAAGTAGCAGTCGGGGGTGAGGTGGTTTCGTGTGTTTGCTTACAAGTGAGCTGAATAACGTGTAAGCTATGTCGGTCTGTCTACTCAGCGACAGTAAGTCCAGTTCGGCAAATAGTTTGGAGGAAGACTGGTTTTGGACATTTTCCGTTAATCGAAGGAGCTAAATCTATAGGTCTAAAGTCTTGACAACATTATGCTTCATACACAGAGGCAGTACAAGCCAGTAATTACATCATTTGCAACTACCTAACCCTCTGGTCAACAGTTCTTGGTATTTATGTGTTTGTTTATTTTAGACGGAGTCTCACTCTGTCGCCAGGCTGGAGCGCAGTGGCGTCATCTCGGCTCACTGCAACTTCCACCTCCCGGGTTCAAGCGATTCTCCTGTCTCAGCCTCTCGAGTAGCTGGGACTACAGGCGCGCGCCACCACGCCCAGCTAATTTTTGTATTTTTAGTAGAGATGGGGTTTCACCTTGTTCGTCAGGCTGGTCTCGATCTCTTGACCTCGTGATCCGCCCGCCTCAGCCTCCCAAAGTGCTAGGAGTTACAGGCGCGAGCCCCGGCGCCCGGCCTATTTTTATTTTATTTTATTTATTTTTTGAGAAGGAGTCTCACTTTGTTGCCCAGGCTGGAGTGCACTGTCACGATATCGGCTCACTGCAACCTCCGCCTCCTGGGTTCAAGTGATTCTCCTGCCTCAGCCTCCCGAGTAGCTGGAACTACAGGCACCCGCCACCACGCTCGGCTAATTATTTTGTGTTTTTAGAACAGGCGGGGTTTCACCATGTTGGCCAGGCTGGTCTCGAACTCCTGACCTCAAATGATCACCCACCTTGGCCGCCCAGGGTGCTAGGATTACAGGCGTGAACCACTGCGCCCCGCCTATTTTTATTTTTTAAGTTTTTTAGAGACGGGGTCTTGCCTTCTTGCCTAGGCTGGTCTTGATCTTCTGGGCTCAAGCCATCCTCCCACCTCGGCCTCCGAAGTGCTGGGTTTACAGGCGTTAGCCACCACGCCCAGCCTGAACGTCAACAAAAAAGTGTGCAAGGGGATGCAGGTGTGCAAGGGGATGCGTGAGCAGAAAGCTTGAGTGCTAGCGCCTTCAGGGGACATTCCTTAACATTCCAGGTCAAAGAGGCTTTCTCAGT